TTGTTCCTGTTCTTTCAGCCTCGGACTCCCTATGTAGCTAAGAATGACCTTAACTCCTTACCCTCTGCCCTCTTCTCAGGTGCTGTGATTACAGGCTTCTGTCAGCACACCTAACCTAAAAGTCTGTCTTTATAATAACCAATGCTCGTCATTAGTTTGTATTTCCTAGAATTTTATCAAAGTACAGTAATGCAGAACATGCAGTTTTAGTTTAGCTTTGTCGGTTATTAAATGGGCTGGCCACATTGCCATGTATATCAGTAACCCACATTCCCTTTGATTCCATTATGCGGCTATATACAATTTGTTCATTCATTTCCTTGTTGATTACAAATAGACAAATGGACATTGAGATTGTTGTTTGGAGCTGAACAGACCTACTACAAATATCCCTACGTAGATTTGCCAGTGATGGAGACTGAACCCATACACACTAGGTTTGCCCTCCACTACTCTACCACTGAGTGACAGCCCCAGGCCTTTTATTACTTTTTCTTTTGAGACAAGTTCTTGCAGAAGTTGTCCAGGCTGGCCTTGAATGTTTCATTTTCCTGCATTCATCTCCTGAGTAGCTGGGATGACAGGCTTGTACTACCAAACCTGACTCATACATAAGGCTTTCTGTGGACACCGACCTCATCTAGGTTTCTATCTCAGACTTCCAGATCTGCTGGTCAGGTATCAAAACCAAGCTGCCAACCGGAGAAATCTGCCTGGACAATTCAAAGGCCTTTAAAACCAACATGATCCAAATCTTCTCATCATGCCACTCCCCTCTCCACGCCAAAGTCCAGTGACTATCTACAAACAACCCAAAAAGATTCTTCCCACCTCCTAACATTCCTGCAATCATTAGTGAAGTGCTGAGTCCTGACAGGTCTGCCTTTCCAATAGTGCTCATATAGCATCCATCCTAATCCAAATGTGCATCGCCTCTTAGATGAACTTAGTAAACCAGGCTTCAGCTTCTCTCCCTTACCTAAGTCTCATTCTTCCCTTCCCTTGACCAAAGTGAAGTTTCTAAAATTCAAATCAAGTCTTACTTCCTACTTAAAACCCCTCATTGGCCACAAGTGCTAGCCCATATTTATGACCCCAAATGAACCAGGACAGCTAAGCTGCAGGTTCAAGACTAGTCTGGGCTACAGGATGAGACTATCTAAAAAACAAAAATGAGTTCTTTTTCCAGACATACCCACTACCACCTTCCACTTAGTCTTTTTTTAATTATGCAATTTATCCTTAGTGCCAAAGGCAAATACTTGTTCTGAGACAAGCATCATGTATTGGTGGGATGTGACAAATGTAGGAAAGATAATGTGGGGCCTAATAAATACACTCAGGAAAAGTAGCAGTCCTATCTAGAAAGATTTTTTTTTTATAAGAAATCAAATAGGAAGATCAAGGCAGAACCATCTAATAAATTCCATGCCAAAAACTACATTTTAACTCAAAGGACATCGACAATTCTTAACAAATGTTTAACACTTTCAAAAGTATATTATAACTTCTGAAATATGTAAAGGCAAGTGGGCTGGGGCAAGGGACTCAGTTGGGAGGCTATCACAGTAATCCGGGAGAGGAAACTCCAAGCAGTTAGGAGAGTAGATTACAAAAGCATGTTAGAGGTTGATAAACATAAGGCTTTTGCCTGGAGGTGGACAATAGTACACAGAGAGGAGGCAGAGATGACTTCAGAGTTTTGAGCCAAACAAATAAAATTCTAAAGCCATTAACCACGAAGTTAAAAACTGGTGGGGGGGGGCAGTTTTATTTTGAGTATCCCTTTACGCACTTGGCAACATTTCCAAATAACTTTAACCACTGGCAAACAAAAAGTAACATACAAAGGCTAAAAATTCAAACCGCCAAACCAAAAGAGGGAAGACAGTTTGAAGATTTACTAAGTCACAATGTTGCTTTAGGAGCTTTGAAAATGTAGCAACATTTCCAAATAATCTACTTTAACCTCTGACAAACTCAAAGTAACAAAGGCACTTGTTCAAAATGAGTCCTAACAGGTGTCAGGCACAGCCCGTATATAGGAAGTCCAATAGGGTAAGATAACATTCCTAGTCTCTAGATGGGGAGTGAGAACATGGACAAGTAAACTGGAACTTCACATTCACTGCTGAGTTAGGATAGGATGCGAGGAGGAAACAATGGAGCGCTATCCAACTCAGCCCTGAGGGTTTGAGAAAATCTCTGAGGTAGCGTAGTATTAGACCAGATAAAAGGAACAGCCGGTCCAAAAAGCCTGTGGTAAGAAAAGGCCAAGTTAGGCATTATACAAGTAGTTTAAAGTCTGAAGAAAGAGTTCAAGATAAGGACACACCCACACAAAATGTCCAAGGACACATCTACATGAAATTCCCCAGAACACAGATGATAATTCAATAATTTTAAGCTACAACAGCATATTCAGATTATGAGAAATATGTCCAACCTTGTCTTAGGGGTCTTAAGAGCATTGTAGGTGAGAATTTAAATGAGGGGAGAGCATTACATCTTAGAGAGCAAATGGAAACACATCACTTCTGCAGGGATATCTCTGCTGCAAGTGGAAAACCAACCAACTGCGAGGCTACAGAACATGAGCAATGCTGTGGCAAACTGGAAACAAGCCTTTCTAAAGAAGGCAGCCATTCACAACTCTAGCAATTTACTATTGTGTGGAAATGCATGGCAAGACTGTCTATAACTCAAGAAAAATAGGAATTCAGACCATATGCAATATTTCTTATTTTAAGATACTGGCGACTAATCACATAAATTGAAAAACAAAAACACCACAATGCTAGCCAAACAAAATGCGTCTGTGAATACATTTCAGCAAGGGCCACCCATGTGGCAGGTTAGAGAGGTCTTCCAATGTCTACAATGCTTCTTCCACTTCAAAGGATTCTCAAGTGTTATTTTGGAGGTTTCCTTAGAATAGGAGCTACTTGCTTTTAAGCTAAACACCCCACATGGTAATGTCCTGTGAGGGCTTTTATACATATAAATCAACTTTTCTGTCTCATCTTGTCAAGACACCAAGCTTCTAGCATCACGAGGCATAATTTTCCCTCATACAAGCTAAGCAGTCGAGTCTGCAGGTAAAGCCCATGTGAACAAAGTATGCAGGACAAGGCGGTCTCTTTGATTTCCTTAGAAAAACACCACAGAGGTTTGCAAGCAGTGAGACATTTGAGAATAAAAACCAGTAACCTAAATCTGAAAAATAAAAGCAAAGCCTTCCAACAAAGCAGTTTCCATCATAAGATACCAAGAGGGGAGGGGTGAATAGGGCAGAGGAGCTAAAAGTTGCTGGCTTTGAGGACTATGAAACACCTTTCAAAACTCTCTGGTAAAATAGAAAGGCTCCACATAATGGTACAGCAAACACTCTCAATTCTCAATAGAAACAAAACTGTACTTTAGCAACATAGCATGAAAAATATTTGAGCAAGAAGAAATCGAGATTAAAACTATTGAAAGAGCAAAGCAATTTTTACAGGTAAGGCAAATGAGAGCAAAAACAATCTGGTTGCTTTAAATCCATTCAAACACCCCTGTTTCAGATGTCTGACTTAGTACAGTGTTTACAAAGTCACAGTGTTGCTTTGGAAGCCCTTAAAATGTAGCAACATTTCCCGAGAACTTTAACCACTAGCAAAACTAAAAAAGTAACATACAAAGGCTTAAAAATTCAAAGTGCTCGAACCAAACCATCGACGGTTCACAATGTTGCTTTAGGAGCTTTGAAAATGTAGCAACATTTCCAAATAATTTACCTTCACCTCTGGCAAACTCAGAGTAACACACGAAGTCTTAAAAAAAAAAAATGCAAAACGCCAAACCGAACCGGGGTTCGGAGAGTCTCAGACTCCCCAGAAGAACCCATCTGAACACAGTGGCATGTGCATCACCCTTGTAATGGGGGTGGGGGAGTGTCAAGTGAACGGGGAGTTATGACCGAGGGCGAGCAAAGCCAAGCAGGCCATGTTCTGGCTGGCAGGCTACCTCGCAATTACTTAGGCAAGCACTGTGGCCAGGGCACTCTCGAGCCAGTCCGAGCGCCCTGGACTCCTAAAACGGGGAGGTTGACCGCAGCTCGGTAAGACCCAGAAGGTAGGCAGTGTGTGGCCTTCTTTGACCTCCACGGTAAACCGAGGCTCCTCCAACCGTCGCCTCCGCGCTCGGATTATCCGGGCCAACCCTCCCCGACTGTGTGCGGCCTTCCCACGCACCCCGGGCGAGTGTCAACAGCCGGAGCAGCCGGGCGCGGGGGGCACCTCGCCTCCCGTGCCGTTTCCCCCCCGGAGCCCCGCGACCGGGGAGAAAGACGGCGGTG